GGATACAGGACCACACCCAGGAATTCTGATCCTCCCAGACTCTGCTCTAACCCACCAGCCCCCACTCCCCTCCCAGAGCCGGGGAGAGAACCCAGGAGTCCTGTCTCCCAGCCCCCCCTGCTCTAACCCACCAGCCCCCACTCCCCTCCCAGAGCTGGGATAGAACCCAGGAGTCCTGTCTCTCTCTTTCTGGAAGCTGTCACTGAATTCCAGCCTCTAATGGCATCTTCACAAAGTTTTCTCCCTAGAATTATTATTATTTCCTGCTTGCAGGGGACCTGACGTCCCGTCTCTCCACGGACACCACCAAGATGAGCCGCGCCTTCTCCCTCAATGCCAACGTGTTCCTGCGCAGTCTGGTGAAGGCCCTGGGCATCTACTACTTCATGTTCAGCCTCTCCTGGCGCCTCACCCTGCTCACGCTCTTTGAGACCCCCATCACCATGGTGGCCCAGAAAATCCATGACAGCTACTACCAGGTATGGTGCAGCGTACCAGGTACTGCGCGGCCCCTGGGTGTGCCCAGCCCCCATGGGACTGACCGTCCCACTCTCCCTCCCCAGGCTCTGCTGAAGGACGTCCAGGACTCCATGGCGCGCTCCGGGGAGGTCGTGCGCGAGGTGGTCTCCTCCATTGAGACCGTGCGCAGCTTTGCGGCTGAGGACGAAGAGTCGCGGCGCTATGAGGCGGCGCTGGCCGAGACCCACCGGCTGGCGTCTCGCCGGGACCAAGTGCGGGCCCTGTACCTGCTCTTCCGAAGGGTGAGGCTGGGGCAATTAGCACAGGGTAATTTATCCATTAAACAGTTCAGATACAGGTTACCTCAACCTTCAAAGAGACATAGAGACAATACAGGACTGTCGCGTCTTACGTGCATTTAACATGCGCGATTTCAACTTTATGCGGTCGGCAAAAATAAATAAATAAAATAACAATTTTAATACTATACCTGTAGTGCGGGCGATTCCGCCCGCCATTGAACTCAATGGGGTTCGGGCTATACCCAGTTTTCGCTTTACGTGCTAACTGCGGAACAGAACCCCCGCATAAGACGAGACTCGCCTGTAATACTATTTCCCTCAAGTGTCTCCCTAAATGTTAATATTCCTTTTTGATCTTCGAATCAAAGCTATAGCAATAGACAAGACTTGTTTGCTGACATCACAAGACCTGAGCAAACACCTCCCCTTGAGATCTCTAACAATGCCGGCTGCATTTCAAAGCTCTGTTCATTTACAGATCTTCCTAACCAGTCTAGGTTCACCCCTGTGTCAGGTCAGTCGGAGTTAATTAACTCTTGCTGGCCCTATCACCTTTCAATGAGATATTATATTGCACTCATAACGTCACAGTGTCACCAGAGCTTCGGGGCCTGCTCTGCTCCAGTGATGGGGAGGACGGGGAAATGTGCACACGCTGATTGCAGGAAACAGGTTACAGTCGGTGTATCAGGCCAACGCAGCATCTTGTGTCTGCCATCGCTGGCCCTACATCTTCTCCTCCTGGATTTGTTACATCTCCACGTAGCCTTGTGGGGCAGGGACCCTGCCTCCTTGTGTCTGTACATTCCCCAACACACTTGTAGGTGCTATAAAATAGTAAATCGATACAGTATGGTCATGAAAGCAGGTGGCTTCCCCACACTGCTCAAACACAGACACACATGTGGGTAGGGTCTAAATTTATCCTCCCCAACACACATCCCTGCAGTTTGCCCTAATGTAATTACAGAGTAAACGACAGTGCAAAACTTGGCTTGGGTGCCCCTGGCTCCATCTGCCTTAGAGGCATCTCCAACACTTTATATCCTGGGATGGAGGAAGTAGGACCCACCTGGTCTGGCTGCCAGTGTGAATCAGCAGACGAGCACCTCCTTTCTTCTGGAGATCCCCACGAGTCCTGAGCCCCCCCCCCTCCTGCCAGTGTATGGCAGACCCACAGTAAAGCTCTTGCTGCTTTTTGCTCCCTAACCCTCTGGCTCAGTGGTTTTCAAACTGCGGGTCGCAACCCAGGTCAGCACTGCCAACCAGGCCATTAAAAGTCCCGTCGGTGCTGCCCGGCTAAGGCAGGCTAGTTCCTACCTGTTCTGACGCCGCGCTGCGCCCCGGAAGCAGCCAGCAGCAGGTCCGGCTCCTAGGCGGGGGAGACAGGGACACAGGGCTCCACACACTGCTCCCGCCCCGACCACTGGCTCCACACTCCCATTGGCCAAGAACCAGCCAATGGGAGTTGGGGGGGCAGTGCCTGTGGGCAAGAGCCGCGCAGAGCCGTTTGCGCACCTCCGCCTAGGAGCTGGACTTGCTGCTGGCCGCTTCCGGGGAGCAGTGCGGTCTGCGGTGCCAGGACAGGCAAGGAGCCTGACTTAGCCCCCGCCCTGCACTGCTGACCGGGAGCCCCCTGAGGTAAGCCCGCGCCCCAACCCCCTGCGCCAGCTCCGAGTGCCCCCAAACCCAGAGCCCACTCCTGCCCCCCATCCCCTCATCCCCAGCCCCACCCTGCAGCCCGCACCCCAGCCCTGAGCCCCTCCCACACCCCAAACCCCTCATCCCCAGCTCCATTGGGTCGCAGGCATCAACAGTTTTCTTCAACTGTGTCGCCAGAAAAAAGTTTGAAAACTACTGCTCTGGTTCTTTCTCTCCCCAGCTGCTGCAGCTGGCCGTGCAGGTGCTGATGCTGTACTGCGGGCACCAGCAGATCCGCGCCGGGCTCCTGACCAAGGGCAGCCTGGTCTCCTTCATCCTCTACCAGGAGGACGCGGGGAGATACGTTAAGGTGAGGAGCCCCTTAAACCAGCATTGTCCTTCAGGGCCCACGTGGCCAGCTAGGCAGCCAGCTCTGTCTTGGCCAGGGGGTGAAATAATCCATTTCTCCTCTGTACGTAATATTGTGAGGTCAGAATGCAGGTTAAAAAGAGCTTCCAATGCCATCCGCCCCCTGCCAGCAGGATGGGGCCCCAGCCCTGCCCCCCGCAGTGAGGGGATCCAGCAAATCCGATTCCAAGGCAAGGGGATCGGGCAAGTTTAGCAACACTCATTCCTGGAATCCAGGGGCAGGGTACTTGGCAGATGAGCTGAGTTTGTGGAGTCTCAGCCTGCTCCCTTACAGACGTTTGTCTAAACTCATCAGCCACTGGGAAGTGGCTTTGTAATGAGGGGAAGGGCTTGTGGTTAAGGGGGTGGACGGGGACTCAAGAGCCCTGGGTTCAGTTCCCAGCTTTGCCACTGACTCTGTGTGACCTTGGGTGAGTCACTTGGTACCTCAGGTCCCCATCTCTATAATGGGGGTAATAATCTGTCCTTTAGATTGTAAATTCTTGGGGGCAGGGATTGTCTCACTGTGGGTCTGTGCAGCACCCAGCACAACGGGGCCCTGATCCCAGTCGGGGTGTGCGTGGGGCCCGACACAATGGGGGCCCCCAAACTCAGTAGGGGTCTATGGAGCTCTCAGCACAATGGGGGTCCTGATCTCTACTGGGGCCTCAGCTGAAGCCATAATACAGATAAATAACAATGTGTGTAAATTCCTGCCTAAGTGGCCTCTGGGGATTTGCTGGCCAAGGGCAGCAGAGCAGCCATGGCCAGGGTTGGTTTCCTAGACAGGGAATGCCAATGGTGGGACTCAGCAGTGACTTATTTGGGAGCGTGTGTCTGGGACTCTTTCTTTGTGTATCCCCTAGACCCTGGTTTACATATATGGGGATCTGATGAGCAGTGTGGGAGCAGCAGAGAAGGTCTTCAAGTACCTGGACCGGGAGCCGGCTGTGGCAACAGACGGGACATTGGCACCAGCTTCACTCCAGGGACATGTCTCCTTCAGAAACGTCTCCTTCTCCTACCCCTCCCGCCCGGATGTGAAGGTCTTAAAGGTACAGTACAGCAGACTTGACTCTATCAAACCACTCAAGGGAGTGGACAGTACGAAGGACTGATTCCTAAGAAACAAAGATTATTTTTATTATTGTGATGCGTTTTTTTTTTAGAAGATTCTGAATCAAATAACATCCCCACACGAACACGTTAATTAAGATGATGTTAACGTTGCAGGCGCATAGCAAGGGAGTGAGGGCTTAGTGTCTTTTAAGAATGTTGGAGTCGAAAACCCAAGCATGGGAAGTGCAGAGTTAAGCTTACAGTCCCCAAATCGTGGGATTAGCAGCCCCAAGTCGTCACGGTAGTGTCCAGGCTCGACAGCTTGAATGTGTAAATTCAAGGTTTTGTACACAGTCAAGCCAGCGCTGGCGTCTTGCTGTGTCAAGGGAGTGTAGCAGGGCTTTTGCGGTGAGAGCTCCTGATCTGATTGTATTGCCGGAGCACCTCCTGCGTCTCTCTCATCCAGCAGGGATTGTGCTTTTTCCAGAAGCCTCGGGGAATGTTCTTCTTTCTTGCTACTGTCAGGAGCCCTGCGAACCGTTGATACCATTCCGGTCTCGCTGGAATCCTTGCAACAGTTTTCTCAACAGTCTCTTTGTAGGCATCCCAATCAGCTTTAGCACAATTCCATCGCGGTACCTGTTTCGGAAAGAACACCGGAATTTTGATGCCTTCGTAGATCATTATACACCTGTGTTGGCAGTTCGGAAATGCTGATAGTACTTCACGCGATGCGATGAGAGTGTTACCACTTTGGTCTTCAGACACAAACGTTAGGTCTGGATTGTGCCCATGTGCCCAGTGGCTTGAATGGACTGTTGATTGTTGTTTTAATTCGTAGATTAGTTGTAAGTCTTGTGCAGATATCCAGTCCATGAGATCTTCGCCATTGGTTTAGTTTGTTGTGCTGGGTAGTGCTGGTTTTGGCCATCTAAGGGTTTTATAGACGTTGGTAATGTGGAGCTCCCCTACTTGGATAGTTGTGGTAAATGTGGTCTCCTCTTCGGATGGTGGAATAAAATTAAAATCTGTGACGGTGTCCTTGATGTAGCCACATTTAGGATGATAATGGCTAGTCGTTAGGTTGCATCCATAGATATGGTAGCGCCTAGCCTGTTGGTTGTTGCTAATATGAGCACTACTGCAGTGTCTTGGGGCTGCTAATCCCACAGAGTACTGGCCTTCAAAAATCCAGCCAAACTCAATAGCCTGCAAACTGGTGGAGAACACAAAAGGACTGCTCGATAAACACACAAGAAGAGAAGTGTATCATAACTCTACTGGACACTTGCATCAATCCCCCGAAGAGGTTCAGCATTGAGGAAGTAAAAGCAGGACTTGGTGTGATGAAAAAACGGAAGGCTGCAGGCCCTGACGGTATTCCACCAGAATTCCTCCACCATCTCGGCCCCAAAGGACTCCAGTGGCTAACAACATTGTACTTCGCTACCTTAAGGACAGTACGGATCCCTGAAATATGGCGTGAGGCAATGGTAATTGCCATTCCAAAGCCTGGAAAGTCCCTGATGAAGCAAAAAGCTATAGGCCAATTTCTCTACTATGCACGACCTATAAACTTCTTGAACGTATCAACCTCAAAAGAATACGCCCTTTTACTGAGCCAGTTATCCCTGTCAAACAGGCAGGCTTCCGGCAAAAACGTAGCTGTTGTGACCAAGTTCTGTCATTCACAACTCACATTGAGGCTGGTTATCAGAAAAAAACTGGAGACTGGCGCAGTATTTGTTGACTTGTCATCTGCGTGAGATCTGGAACAAGGTGCTTATTTTTTAAGTCTTGTTTAGCCCAATCTGCTTTCCAGGCCACCTTCTGATCATAGCCTGATTGCATGAGGCTAAATGAATGTTCCCAGAAAGGCTTGCGGGACTTAAGACATTGCGGGGGGTGTTGTCAAGCCGTGGTGAATAGGAAGACATCTGTTTCTTCTTTGCAGTTGGAACAAAGCATAGGGGAGAGAGGGATTTTAAAACAACCAGCAGCCTACATCCATATTTAGGCTCATCTAATCTGAGCTTCCTCTTGAATTACAGGAACAGAAAGGAAGGAATTTACATTATTCTAGGAAGCCAAAATACTCCTCTGACCTAGCCTGGTCTGCTTTTGTTTCCCAGAGAGTTCAGTACTTGCTAAGCCTGGCTCTTACGCCACTGGGCCCATGGGCCTGTCTGGCGAGTGAGGGGTCCGGTACTGTCATAACTATAAAGGGAAGGGTAACAGCTCTCCTGTGTACAATACTATAAAATCCCTCCTGGCCAGAGACTCCAAAATCCTTTTCCCTGTAAAGGGTTAAGAAGCTCAGGTAACCTGGCTGGCATCTGACCTAAAGGACCAATAAGGGGACAAGATACTTTCAAATCTTGGTGGGGGAAGGCTTTTGTTTGTGCTCTTTGTTTTGGGGGTTGTTCGCTCTTGGGACTGAGAGGGACCGGACAGCAATCTAGGTTCTCCAAATCTTTCTGAACAAGTCTCTCCTATTTCAAACTTGTAAGTAAATACCCAGGCAAGGCGTGTTAGTTTTCCTTTGTTTTCTCAACTTGTAAATGTACCTTTTACCAGAGTGTTTATCTTTGTTTGCTGTACTTTGAACCAAAGGCTAGAGGGGGGTCTTCTGGGCTCTTTAAGTTTGATTACCCTATAAGGTTATTTCCATCCTGATTTTACAGAGATGATTTTTACCTTTCTTTCTTTAATTAAAAGCCTTCTTTTTAAGAACCTGATTGTTTTTTCCTTGTTCTAAAATCCAAGGGGGTTGATCTGGACTCACCAGGAATTGGTGGGGGGAAAGGGAAGGGGGGGATGATTAATTCCTCCTTGTTTTAAGATCCAAGGGGTTTTGGATCAGTGTTCACCAGAGAATTGGTGAAGAGTCTCTCAAGACTACACAGGGAAGGGAGTTAGCACATTTGGGTGGTGTCAGCAAATGCAAATCTAAGCTGGTAGTTAAGCTTAGAAGTTTTCATGCAGGTCCCTACATCTGTACCCTAAAGTTCAGAGTGGGGAAGGAGCCTTGACAGGTACTGATGGGTGTATCAGTTTCTGGTGGCACCATTTTGTTTCTACCACTGATGGGACAGAGTGAAAAATTGTCTCACCACTTCAGTTCCAGTCCCACAATGAACTCCTGGCAGGCAAACCCCTGCTCCCCAGTGGAGCCCCATTGACTTTACAGCTGCTGTTTGGAAGTCAGCTCAGGTTTGTGGTGGGGCAGGCCTGGATGTCTCTCTCTCTGTCTCAGCATCATGGGGTTCTGCTGTCGTCATTCCAGGACGTGTCCTTCGAGCTGCGCCCCGGGGAGGTGACGGCGCTGGTGGGGCTGAACGGCAGTGGGAAGAGCACGTGCGTGGGGCTGCTGGAGCGGTTCTACGAGCCCCAGGCCGGGGAGATCCTGCTGGACGGGGCGCCCCTCCGGGAGTACGAGCACCGGTACCTGCACCGCCAGGTGAGGGCAGCAGGAGGGTCGGGTGAAGGGCCGGGGACAGCATTGGGAAAGGCAGGACATGGAGCACGAAGGGATTGAACAGACGCCTTTTCCATTCCTGGCCCCCTGTACATGTCCACTGTAGGTGATGGGTGTAACAAGATGGGCAGGTAGCATATTCGCCCCCCCACCTCCCACGCACACTCCCCACCTCTCTCTGGGTGTTACTTCCCAGCTCACCATCCACCGGAGGCTCAGCGCTGCCCAGCAGAATTAGACCATCCCCTTTTTGGAGGTACTCCGGCCTCTTGGGCGTTTATGGTGCTGAGCGTGTGTCCAAGATCCAATGGTTGGGAGCTGAAGCTAGACAAATTCGGGGTATGTCGACACTTAAAACGCTCCACATGAGGGAGAATCCACCAGACCCCTGACTGACGTAGTTCAACCCACCTAGTTTTCTAGTGTAGACCAGGCCTGAGTGGAAATAAGACTCTTTCTGGAAGATCCTCTCGGGGTCCCTGGTGTGATTCCCTGCCCTGAGCTCAGGCTAGGAGGTGATCAGAACAGTCCCTTGTGCCCTTACCCTGTAGGGCTCCGTGAATCGTGTTCCTTTCCTGTCTCTGCTGCTGCCGCCGTGACTCTCCCCACTTTCATGCACAGATCGCACTGGTGGGGCAGGAGCCCATCCTGTTTGCTGGGTCCATCCGGGAGAACATCGCCTACGGGCTGGGGGGCTGTGGGGAGGCAGAGGTGACTGCAGCAGCCTGCGCAGCCAACGCATCCGAGTTCATTGCATCGACGGAGAGAGGCTTTGAGACGGGTAACGTACCCCACGCATTGTTCACACACATGGTTATCAAGAGATGTATTCAGAGGGGCGCTAAGAACCCACACTGCAAACCTGCTATTCAAAGGGACTTTTTACAGATAGCTCCTCACCATGGCCAGGATTCTCAGGAGGGCCCAGCACGTCAGGTGCAGGTTCGGTGCTGAGCTCTTGAAAATCTGTCCCTTAGTCATGAATGGTGCATTCCCTTCCCTTGCGTTCAGTGCAGTGAGTCACCACCCTCACCTTCCCTCTGGCCATGTAAAGGGGCAAACCCAACCTCCTGACAACGTGGAGCTGGTGTAAGGGCTCTGCACCTACCCTGCTCCCAGCGCTCAGTGTGGTGGATGGATCTGGGGCACCCTGAACTGTGGCTATTTCCTGCCTCCCAGGGCCCATAGGGGGCGGATTGGGGTGTATGATCTGTCCCTGTTCCGGGGGTAGGAATGGAGTTATTAAGACTTGGGGCCAGGGTTCCTGAATATTGAAGGTTACCATATTTGAAGTTCTCAAATAGAGGACACTGCCCGGGGGGGGGGAGGGGACACGGACTGGAGGGGTGTTGGAGGGGTGTGTGTGTACTGGGAGGGGTACGGGAGTGGGTACCTGTGGCCTCACTCTTGAGATGGGGGCAGTGTTGCTCCCTGTCACGGTGGCAGAGCGACTGGCACAGGCCCGGGATTCAGCACCTCCCTGTCTCAGGGCAGGGAGCCGGGGCCTGGCCTGTCACCCTCCCAGCCGGGCTCTGAGACCCCGCAGTGGGGCAGGCAGCCTGGCCAAGAGACGCTTGGTGGCTCCGCTTACCGGGCAGGGTGGGCAGGATCCAGCAGTTGCAGTAGCGGAGGCACCAATCAGGATGTGACACTGCTCTTTCTGAGCTGCAGCATCTGCGCCGCTTGAAAAATCCCGAAGCTGCAGAATCAGAAAACGTTTTGCTTTTTTGGGAGCTCACATGAGCAGGACGTGTTCTCTGCTCACCCCCTGCAGACGTGGGGGAGAAGGGCGGGCAGCTCTCGGCAGGGCAGAAGCAGCGGATCGCCATTGCCCGGGCGCTGATCCGCCAGCCGGCCGTGCTGATCCTGGACGAAGCCACCAGCGCGCTGGATGTGGAGAGCGAATGCGCGGTGAGTGGGGATCACAGCGATGGCTTTGCTCAGACGGGGACTCGCCTTTCTTCCAGCCACCAGGACAGCGGCACCGATGCAGCCGCTAGCTGAACAAGCAAAGACCCCATTTGCACTGGTAGAGTTTTGCCTGTTTGCACGCAGGGTCCCAGGCGTCTCAAGTAGCAATTGATGAGTTCAGTCCTGGAAATGCTGACACATGAAAAATGTCAGTCATGTGAGTATTCCCATTGACATGAACCGGATCGCTCCCGTGAGTGAAGTTACTACGGGCATGAGTGTCTGCAGGATCAGGCACATGGGACAAAATTACTTTGCAAATTAATACTTGTCAATATGTAAAAAACAAACAAGGGAATCTATTGCTGAAGTTTAGAATCTCTGCTACTTACTTCAGTTTCTGTGGATATAAAATAAAGCGACCGGAGTGCTGGCTTTGAGCTAACAAACGTCTTCTAAAATTGCTCAGCATAATGACAATTTAGCAATCTGTAGGAAGAAAAAAATCAAAATATAAATTGTATTTAGAAACTGGAAGAACTGTACCCGGTGTATTGATTAGCTACTATAATGTTTTAAACAGCCGTAGAGGTCAGAGTCGAGTTTCTTTTTCTTGGGGTGAAATTTTTAAAACTGTCTAAAGACGAGATTGTCAAAGGTATTTAGGTACCTGAAGCTGCAGAAAGGCGCCTACGGGGGGGTTTCAGACGTGCCGTCTCTGGGACCCTCCCGTCCCGCAGGGTCTCAGAGCCTGGGCTCCATCTTGGGCCTGAATGTCGACACTGTCATTTTCTAGCCTTGTGGCCTAAGCCCTGCGAGCCCCAGTCAGCCGCCCCGGGCCAGCCGCAGCCATGCTGTGGGTCTTTTATTGCAATGCAGACATGCCCAAAGTCACTTCTGAAAAAAGGATTTAGGCTCCTAAGTCTCTTGGTGCTTTTAAAAAACAATGTCACCCTGTATCCAGTATACATTGTTTTTTATGAATATTCCTTGGTGTTTCTGGGTATCAGGGGAAGCAGGACTTGCTTGTGTTGATCTATATTGAGCCCAGGAGTGGATCTTTGCAATGGGACACTGGTTATTTTGTCCTCCGTCTCCCCTAGATCCGCCAGTCGGTGCTGAGCCGGGGGCGCCGGACGGTGCTGGTGATCGCCCACCGCATGCAGACGGTGGAGAACGCCGACAGGATCGTGGTGCTGGAGGGCGGGGCCGTGGCCGAGGAGGGGACGCACACCGAGCTGATGGGGCGCAAGGGGCCCTACTACAGACTGGTGCAGAGAGACCTGGCCGAGTAACCCCCCGCCCTAGGGAATAGCTATAACTGTACAAGCCGGGTTTTGTTTTGATGGGGGCTGTTTCAGACATTAGCACTGGGGCTGAGCTGGAAATGTGTTTTGTTCCTACAGGAAAAAAAAATCATTTGAACTTTTTCTTCAAAAATTTTCAGGTTTCCATCAAAAGTCAATTTCCCCCCTTGTTGCTTGTTTTCAGTTTTCCAAAAATGTTTATCAAAAAAGGCCATTTGCCACAGCAATTTCCATTTTGATTAAGAAGAAGAGGCCCTGAGGCTGACCCCGCACACGCTGGGATTTTATCTCCTGACTGGCCTGGGAATGCTGAGGAATCCCCCAGGGGGGAACCTGGAACCTGTTGCAGAGGAAAGGGAGGTCTGGTCCTCCCTACTCTCCATGCTGCCGTCGTGAACCTCACCAGGAGAAGCAGCATAAAGGAAAAAGAAGAAGATTCAAGTCATTTTTTTTTTTGTCCAAAAACATTTGGAATAAAGAATTTCAACCAGCCCCAATTATCATTTATTCTGGAGAAACCGAATCATCTACAACGACAAAGAGGCCGGAGTTTCTCCTCTCCATTTTATAGACCATGTTTGGAATATTGTTTAGGACCGAGATTTTCAAAGCAGTGCAAGGGATTTAGTTGTGCCTGGATGGTCAATGTGGGGCTAAATCCTTTGCTCTGTTTTGAACATCTCAACTTTTCTCCCGAGCTTTGTTGTTTTAATCAGGGTACACAAATTAGACAGGGCCTAGAGCAGTGCAGGATCTGAAAGAAGGGGGCAGCGAGATGCTTGTCTGTGAACAGTACCACATAGCTCCTGTGCTAGCACCCTGACTTGGCCTTGTGGGGAGCTGCCACCATGTTAGATGACAGATGAATTGTTTTATTCTAGTGTTTTATTCCAGTCTGAGTTTTTAAAATGTCCAGTTTGAAAATCAAGCTTTTGTAAAAAAATAAAATATTAAAACAATTTTTATAAATGCATGAAAGGGTCTTTGATACTTGATTTTCAATACCTGCAGCTGAAAGCCTGGGCTGTCACATGTGTGTAATTCATAAAGTTGTGTATAACAGAAGCCAAAAATGGCTATGAACTTAAAAACGACTGTAACAGACCACGCATCCCAGTGATGGTCGAACCTGGTGCAGAGACGGCTGGTACCTGCTGATAGGGGTGGGGGGGGGGGGGGGGGGGGAGAGGAGG